ATTAATAAAACAACATACTTCAAAAAAATACTTGCAATTTATTTATTTTAAATCTATAAATTCTGATAGTAAACTTAAACTTACTATATACTTAACGTATTTACAAAATTAAACGTGATCGCAGTAAAATAATTGAAAACCTTATTTTTATAATACAAATTTTAAGTTGTCAGCCTAAAAGAAATGAGGAATGTTATTTTTTTTATTTGATAAATAAAACTTTTGATTTGTACATTGCACACACGCTATCTCAAAAATTGAAATAAGGAAAAGGTCGGATGGATATTTTTAGAATGTTGCAAACGTATATTGCGTAAGATAACAGATATTTTACGAAGCAACAAAGTAAGAGCCATGCAGACTAACAACATCATATCTGATGTAAGGGGATGTTTGTAATAAATTGAGTTACATTTTTGTCGCTACAGCAAGTAATAGCAATATATTTGCAACATCAGTAAATCGTTTGTTATTTTACTTTTAGCGAATTCCCTACATAGGGCTATTACAGTAGATCTTATGGTTAGACCTAGAACCAGGACCCCTTTACTTTTTCGTGTAGATGTGCCCAGATACCATACACATCATCCGTTTGTGTGTCTATGTCCGTTAATTAAAAATAGTTATTTCATACCAAGCTCTTAACATTTAAATAAATAAACACAGTTTGTGACATTAACAATAACAGAAAACTTAAGTATATACTATTAATACTATTTAATAAAATATTATATTTTGTAGGAGGCATTTAATGATTTATACGAAGCTTTCGTTTGTAATAAAATATATGTTTCAATTAAACAACTTATCTTATTTACGTCAATTTTCTATGTAACATGTTTTATGAATAAGGATACCAGTATTTAATTATGTTTCAAAAGTTATTATAGTTTTCATAATATTTATTTCCTGAATGGTTTTATTAATTGGCCAGCGTTATGATACCAGAGTACATAGAAATGCAATTGCCATTCTAATTTCTTATTTTTTTATTATATTATTTACTAACCCTATATAATTCCTTCTATATTCTTGACACTACAAAATATTGCAATAGTTTTAAAAGGTTCATGAAGTAAATTGTATTCAAATGTATTCGAAAATAATGAAATACGTGTGCTAACTTTAAAATAACCATCATGTTTGTTAAGTTTACGATTAATTTTGCTTCAAACAAAAATACGACATTTATGATTTAACAGCATTGTAATTTTTTTCCACTTTCTTTCTCGTGGAATGATCTTTTAGTTGTTGTTAATTTAGTTTATAATAAAAAAATGTGTACCGGTATTTCAAAATATTGATTCGTAACTCAGCTACAGAAACTATCAATTTCATAAGAACCAGCTGTCTAAAGTCGAATAATGATACACATTATTAGATCTAGGTTACTATAGAATTCTAGAGTATTTTAAGATTGACCAATATAAAAGGTAGCTTTTAAAAATTGAAGTTAGCATTGTAGGAGTCACAGCCTAAGTTTTTCCTTGATAAATCCGATTTTCAAAGAAATATCTTCTAGCCTTAGACTTAAGACGTAAAAGAAATAAGGTTTATTGGGCAATCTTGCCTAAACCAATAATCTCTTGTGAGTTGACGTCCAAAGAATCACGTCAGTGACGTTATATTTTACTTTTGGATCGCAAGTATTAAACAAGAGTTGAAATATAGGTGCATTTTCAAAAAAAATGTTTTATAGTTTGACTTAATTATTACGGAACTTTTTAGTAGGCTGGCTATTGATGTTTTATAATTCAAGCAAATTAATAATTAATTATAACCAAAAACAACAAAAATATCAAAGGTACATGTATTTTATTTAGCCTACATTTAAGTAATTATCAATCAAAGAAAATAGTTTATATAACGTGCAACGACCACAGTGTTGGGAAATTATCATTTTGCATGCTTTTATCTATGTTTTAGTACATTCAACGACATTTATCAACTACCATAGTAAGTCTTTGTATTTTTATTTGTGTGTGTGATTATAATATCCATTGAGGAATTTCTGCACTTTGGCATTACAATGTTAGGCTATTTTTATTTCCACTAATATAACTCATAATAACTTATTTCTAGTTAGTGTTCAACGTGTTTTACAGCAAGATATCATTTTACATGTAAATTTAGAAACAATTACATAAATTCGTAATACATTTAATACCAACTACAAGTATTAAACTACGCATTTAATATGTATTATAAAGTATATATATAAAGTGTATATATTTCTGTATATATAAAGTGGGCCTCATTACTGCTAATTACGCCTCCCATATGGTAAAAGCTAGAATACAGGTCTAATATATTTTACTATAACCAAGAATAGTTACTAGTTTTAGGAATATCCACTTTCAAGTGTGTGTACGCGTCTTAATACACGGATCTTATGTTTCAGGTAAATTTTGACCATGGCAACCCGATATTGTAAGTACTCTTTTTTATTGAGGTAATTTATATATATTTTAGAGGCTGTAACAGTACTCACAAAACAATATACACTAAGATAGCATGAAATGAACTTACATACATCGTCACGTAATTTATTTATGCGTTAGGTATACACATCGTATTATGTACAATGTGTTGTTTATATCTTCTATACAGCAAAAACATGAATAACTTAGTTATACAACAACTTAAGTAAAATAGACAAAATAGATTAAAAACGTTTAAAGGGTAGTCAGAAAATGTTCACAAAAACTTGTTAGTGCTGTATTTAAAATCATGTAGTCAACTATGCAAACAATTCCAGATTTTGAAATAACCTCTCTAGTTTCTAACCTTGAGATTTTCCCTGTATTAAACATGTTTAGCGTATTATGCTTAAAGACTTGTGAAAAATACTGCAAATTAAAATACAAAACATTATTAGGATAATTATATACACGATAAGAAAAATAAGCCGGTTAATTATATATTTTAGAGTTAAAAAATATTTCATTAGAGCTTTTAAATGTGTTAGGTTGGCAATTCTTTATAAGATTACGATGCATCAAAAATTATCTTTTGCGTTTTTTTCTACAGATTCTTCGAACACCTATAACGATATGTAATATAACGGTCGACTACACTATGAAAAAAGAGTGTAATTTTCCTATGATTGTTTTATAAAATAAATCTGTTTTATTACTATTAGTAATTATGAAGGTTGTAAATGTTTATCAAAGTTTCTGGACCGTTCATCCAGTAAAGTACAAACACAGGTTTTCTCTATAATCTGTAGTACAAACAATAACTATTGCTTGTATTTCCTTTTAAATTATAAAGTTGTTTAACACAGATTGTGGAATTTAATATTTATATCACAAATAACAGTACAAACGAAATAATACAACTTAGTAACATATAGGTTTAGACTAAATATTAGATTACAGTAGAATATGTATGTACGTGTATAATAATTTGTAAATTATCATCTTTGCCACCTAATAAAGAAATACTTCTCGTGAGGGTGTTTTTAATAAATGAACTGCTAAGTACGTCAGGACAGTGACCGACGTATCAGTAGCATTACATTTTACTTTGTGAACAGTAATCTTCTAAAATTATACAAGGCCTTTTGTTCGTTTTATAATATTTTTACAGTTTACAATATGTTTTAACTTGATTTACTATTCACCAAATTATGACACATAATACAAATGGATAATAATATTACAATATAATAATATCACATAGTATCATAGTCGATATTTAATCCTTATAACAATAATTTACATGTCGAAACCAGGTTTTTATACTTATTATTATGATTGTTTTGTTTATTTTGGGTTCCATGCCATTTACCTGTAAATTTAGTTTTCAGGTTAATTTATGCGATCAACAAGTTGTTAAATAATAGTAATTTATAGCCTTATAAAAAATCTCAAGTCGCTAAATAACTATGCTTGCAATTAAACCAGAATTCGGATTTATATGCAAGCACTATAATAACCCGGGTATCAAAACTACTGTTCTATGCAATAATAAAAAAATCACATGTTAACTTCATATTACTGATTTATCCTCTCAAATTCCATATAGTGCCACTTTTATCCTGTTACTGTAATATAAGCTTGTATAAAATATATTTGTATGCAAAGGTGCATAGATTAGGATTTGTTTTAGGATTTATTATTTATGGTGCAACCATTGGATTAATCCTCCATTTTACAATAACCATTGGATGGATACTGATTTGTATATGGAGCGTTTGACGATAAGACAGTTTAAGAGACATGTCAGAGACTATCCGACTGTTAATTGACACGTAGGTATTTCTGATTTAAATTTTGTTCTCATCTCTACAGCAACTGTACGTAAGATGTTGGGTATTTTTATTATTATTAACTGTCAAAAGGGCTTTGAAATAATCCAAAGGTTTTTAAGCTTTACAAAAAAGAAAACTTCCAACTCAACGATGAATGGAAATGGTACTGCTTCTCCTTTGATCATATTAGATACTTGACACGTTAGTATATGTAATGTACAATTGATTTTTTGTTTAAAATGGTTTAGAAATGTTATGTTAACTAAAGTAAAAAGGTTCAGAAATGGCATACTTTTATATTTTTACAAATTGGTTTAAAAATATATTCCTCTCTGTATATTTTAAACTATTGATATGTTTTACTTTACTTTAACGGACGTAGCTGGACCCTTCTTAGTCTCTTTTTTGTATTGTGTATAGAAAAGAACAAAAAAAAAACTAGTAATACTAAAATACTACTATTAAAAATAGTTTCAAAACTTGTCTTGTTGATGTAATTAAATAGATTTGTTTATAACTTTATCAAAGCTAAGTACAATCGGGTAATAAGACGACAAAGCAACATTGCTTATTAAGGCACAGAAGGCAGCTGCGTTAATTAACTAAGAATTTCCGTGGAGTTTTGTTTTGGTGAAGAACCGAACAAAAAAACATCAAAGAACAAGTATCTTACAATTTGTTTGTGATTTATTCCTTTTCCAAGAACTTGGATCATATTAATCACCTTTTATTTGCTTTATGTACACTACAAGTACATGTTAAGACAGTATATTGGAACAATACAGGGCAGATTAGCATTGTTCATGTGCAAAGAAGACACTCAAAATCATAAAGCTATCAAACTGTTTTGGTGAATACAAACCTTCACCTCAAGAACGAATGCAAACAAAGTCATCAATATTTGACCATAATATTCCGTCTGTAGTAGCATAACATTCTAAATAACGAATCACTCGTGTCTTGAAACATAGTCAATTATGTAGGCTTTTCATAATAATTAATTAATACCAAAAACATAGTAAAACTGTTCAGTGTAGCCTACTTGTGGGTTGCATTGGATACAATTTTTTTTAATTTTTGGGTTTTTATTCGGTTGTCACTTTATTCGTTAGGTATAGGTTATCCAGACACATACTATCCAATTATAAAGTAGTACTAAATTTTGATGAAAGTTAAAACAAATTAAACGACAATTTACAGTTATTATTTTATTAATATTGTTATCATCAAAATTGTTATAGTATGAACGTGGGAAACCTTTTTTAACAAAGTTGCACTGAAGTTAGTACTGTACCAATTATTATTGTTGGGATCTTAGTATAACAAAAACTCACAGGTTAACAAACACTTCTAACTTTATTATATTTCATTTTGAACAGAATTGTGTCTATAAAAACTAAACCAAAACATTGGCTGATGACTGATTTAAATCATTTAAATAATCAGCTGACAAACACAAGTAAATACTATTTGAAATAAAGTCATTTAACCAACAATTTATATTCAACAAATATATTATAAAAATCCCATTCTAGGAATCTATAAACATGTTATTAAGTAAAAATTTCAAAAATTGTAAAAATCTGGAGAGTTAAGAGTTTACAAATACAAGACAAAATTTTAATATATTTTATATAAACCCGTTTATTATGTAATATTAATTGCAATATGTTTCTTTTCAAACAATTTGAATATAAACAATATTATATTGCTGATAATCTTAAGATTTCTTGTCAACACCATATAAAAAAAATATAATAAGATCCAAATGTTAGTATTTACACATGGACTTAATTATTTATGACAATAATGGGGTACAAAGTGTTTTATGAAAATTATAATATTGTTAGTTTTGTATTGAGTGCAGAAACCGATATAGTTTTAAGCCCGTATTATATTTTTACACAATTAATTATCTTATAGTTAAAAACAATCTCTAAGGTTTGGTTCAAAAAATGTGATCAGACATTTTCCAAACGGAAATTAATGACCATCAATACTTTAACGAAAGACTAATTGTGTTTAAGAGAAAAGGGACGTCTTAATGAGGTCAGAATAACAGATGGGATTTTTAATGAAAGGAGATAATTACTTTTTTCTTTTAACGAAGTTTTTGTACCATGAATAAATGAAAGCCTGTCAAAATCGAGAGCCATTAATATACCAGTACTAAAACCATAACAGCAACTATTGTATACATTTGTTTTTAAACCTGAACAGTTGGAAGAACAAAATTAGTTTTAGAAATCTAACATATAAATTCACTACACTATTTTAATCCCTCCCTGTCTCTATGCTGAAGCAGTGTTCTTTGAAACAAGATTATGGTAATGATATCTACAGAGTCAAGGAGCTTATCATTTTGTACCTGGACATTACAGTGTTTTACCTGTTTGTAACGAAACCACACGAAGAAAACAAATATTTAATTTAGAATATTTGTACTCTAAGAATGTTTAATTAGTTTTTAATCTTTCAATTTGATTGTGAAAGTTTGAAATTTTGTAAGTAGTGGTGTAAACACAACTGGATCGATTGCGCTGATTAAGCTTTGCAGTAATAGAACCATTATATTACTCTTATATAGGAATATTTTATTTTTAAACCTACCTCGGTCATTGTTTACCTAGCTTCCGAAGATACCATTCTTATTCATAATGCTTATATTAGAACTGTCTTAATATACCAGTTGTTTGGATATGTTTTGTTAATGTTTCATTCAAATTTTTCAAATTTTTGTGTTATTTCATTAGATGGTTATATTTGATAATACAAATGTAGAGAAACTTTTGTAGAATTATTTTTAAAAAATTTCTTATAAACTCATATAACCAGCTACAGGTGAAAATGATTAGCAAACATTAAAAGTTAAGGTAAGCATTGTTAAGTGACATCAATATCAAGATTTTATTGCTATCTCACAGTTTGTTAGAATTTTTTTATTATCAAATGACTTCAAATAAGCTATAATTAGACTTTGAAAAGTAGTAACCACTTATATTCAAGCGTATGATTTTAAATTAGATTTGTTCTTCTAATCTTTATCATAATCACTATTAAAGTAAAGTTACAATAACTTGCATTCGATCAACTTGTTATTATAATATTGAACCGCGTACCTGTAGTTTGTTAATGCTATTTTTCGAGAGGGGGATTTTCCCAATTTATGCAACTATTATTAGGGTATTTAACATACCTAAATCCACCATTAAGTCACTATGAGTTTACTTTGGATAAATTCATAATTAGTGAAGTTACGTTATGAATGAGGGCTCATTTCAAACCGGTATAAACTATATGAATTCGGTGATTTCAATAGAACTTTTGATAAGTTTATATATTCTTATCCTCAAGTGCCAATAGGTTTTATAGCTAAAGTCATGCTCTAGCAAAGTTAATTTTGGTAGTATAATCGTGAAACTTCATCCTCTTAACTTATAGTTTGGGTCATGAGTGATATGACTTCCAACCAAGACCACATTGTTGAGATTCATTATTTCAAGTGACATTTGAGAAATATATTTTATGAGAATTAAGCTGCAAATGAATACCTCATTCAACTTGATAGCCTTATTCAGCTTAGTAATTAGGGTTGTGCTTTGTTTCAATTTACTTTGTTACAATCCGCTCTCACAGATTAAAGTGTTGACGTTTGAGAGTAATTTGCACAAAGCTTGGCTTAACGTTTGTGATAACATTGGTGTTCTTTGAAAATCTATAGCATTGCTACAACTATAAATTTAAATTAATTAAAGTATACATTTAGAATAAAAACACCACAGTTCATGTTTCCTAGTTCATTTACACAATATTTACATTTCCATAACTTAAATAGTTAAAGTTACATGTCCAAAATGGTATATTTCTTTTATGGTTTTTTTTCAATGAAAGTACTGTAAAAAAATTGGTTTGCTATAAATTTTAATGTTTTTTTTTTACATTCAACGGTTAAAATTTCACAAAATATATGACAGTTTAAAAGCATACATACCCTAAAAAGCAATAATAAACTTTCTCTTTTGCTTCACATAGAGTTTTAAAAACTAATAAAAGCGTACACATAGACCATATCTACTAAAACACAAGTTATGTTTAAACTTAAAACCCATTTGACAAAGTGATATTAGTCTATATAATAGTAAATAATAACCAAGCTTTAAAAGTAATAAATCATGCATATTTATCTTGAATTTTCGTTTTTCTACAAGTAGTTCATTTCTTCTTAGTTAATATTTACTTACCATTTATAAATTATGTGGAATATCATCCGCCTTATAAACATTTTTGTTTATGATTATAATCAGGTTTATGAGAGCTCTAGACAATATCTGAAGGATTTTAGAGGGATATTGGCAAAGACTAAGATAAATGAAAGTAATTTTGGCCGTCCAAATGATCACGTGCTCAATCCATTATGCTGATCCTCTGAAATGAAAATCCAAAGAGAAAAAAAATATTAGTCATAACTGTAAAACATATATTTGTATTATTCTTTAAATAAATGAAAATTGTTTTCAAATGACACAGAAGCATCTGATAATTTTGATACTATAATAATACCTTTTTATGCGTTATCTAATGGTCAACATTCTATTAATTAATAATTGATGTTTTAATTCAAATATTTGTTAATCGTTTAGTGGTACGAATTACTATGTAAATAATCGGAATTGGCACTGCCTAACCAATTTTTATTGGAGTTTTGAGATTTAGGAAGATCTTAAATAAGATGCAAAGCTAATGGATGACAAATTTGCATGACCATGATTATATTCTAATTTGAAGACTAGGAGGAAAACTTAAAAATAAAAATAAAACAGTATATAGGTTAAATAGAGAATTATATTTGTGGAACTTGCATTTTTCTTCCCGTTCCACAATGTATGTCAAGGAGAAAGTTTCTACGGATACAAGGGTATTCAATACAAACTTTGCTATTGGCAAGGAAAGTTTTACATTGAGGGGTCCTCTGAGAACTGAGCTAAGATTGTGGAAATAATATATTCTTTGTAATCTTTCAGGATACCTTTACATATTGCCTCCTCTAGCTGTTCAAACATTAAACCTTCGAAACTCATTGTTTTACTTCTTTCGGCATTTAGTACTTATACGCTTTAGTACATATATGTGCTGTTCTTATCTATAGTAGATAACAAAGTGAACGCGTTTTAATTATATTTCTCAAGGGTTTCATGCTATGTTTAGCCTATTATTGTTAACAATGCATACGTATATGACGAGTCATTTAATCTTAATCTTTATACTTCGATTCAATTTTGAATTACGAATTCCCTAGGTTAATTTATATTCAAAAGAAGTAAACGAAATGTTAAGTCTAACGATTGGAAATTATATATTTGTTGTTTATATAAGGGAATAGCACTACCTTGCACTTTCAATGTAGTGTACCTTCATAATACTAACATTCATGTATGTATGATAGAAAATAATTATTCTAAGGTAAGACCCGAGTAACTCATTATACCAAGTGATAATAGGAAACAGAAGTCACATGAACTTTGTTTTGCAGTTGGTTAAAATTTTTGCATTAATTTGGCAAGTACAGCCCTTACAAAGATTTAATTCGTAAAATTGTATCACGTATCAAACGAATCAACGCATCAAATGATATATTTGTCGCTTGATTACCCCCATTCATTCACCATGTCTTTTTTTAACATACTGCATCGAAATTAGATCTTCAAGCTGTACAGGGTGTCCATAAAAACTTTTTCAGGACTGTAAGCAATAAACCCTCATACTAAAAGGAAGAAAACTGTTTAGGTGAGGGTATGTCCGAAAATGCATATTTACCCAGATATCCGCCATTTTGTTTTTATACAAAAAT